ATCCTCTATGAGGCTGTGGAGGGATTCTAGTTGTGGATCTAAAAGAAAACATGAATCATCTGCGTACAATGACACCTTTGTTTTTAAGCCCTGTATTTCTAATCCTCTGATATTATTATTGGATCTGATTTTAATAGCTAACATCTCGATGGCCACAATAAATAGATATGCCGATAGTGGACAACCTTGGCAGCAGACTTTGTGAAAATTTATATTTGTGTAATTCTCAAAGCTTTTGACCATGACTGTACACCCGTTCGTAAATTAAAGCCATCAGTTCAATTTTCACTCCAATGGCAATCCTGTGTCCATGACATTTAAACTCTTGGGAGTATTTATTTCTATACTCACCAAAGTCCAGAAACTGCTTGATAGACATCGGCGAGGGAGAGAACCTCGAATAATATTCTATTTTCGATGTTACATCTTTCAGTAGAAAGTTGAACAGCCTCATGATTGCTTCAAGTAATCACTTTCTAATTTTCAACACATATAAATATGAGTACAGTTGATGGCCTAAGAACGATTTCCAAACAACCCCCTGTTTACTTGCATCGACCAATATAAACACTCAATACAAGTTACATGCTGATATCCCCTACTTCGACAGTAGTCCCCCATGTTATTTTGATGCATCGTAAGTACAGTGTGTGTGTGTCCCCACGCACGTGACAAGGAAGCGTTAGAGCAGGACGTGCAACCTTATTGGCTGACAGAACCTCTCGCTTCCCCGGAATGATACAAGTTTGCCCATCAAAGTGCTCTTTTGTCGAGCTAGCAGATACGTCACTGTGCCTTCAAAGCCATTCGGAGGGAATTTATTATTATGACTTTAGATGATGGTATAGAAGTATTGGTTATGTATACCTTCTGGACCCTTGTTCAGACAAACTGGACATGCAATTCCATAAACAATACTGCGCCACTGTTTAAGAATAGCCTATGTTCTTCCAACTAAACTCGTAAGAAACTGAGTGTATTAATCCAGATGTTGTTTGGTAAACACATGGCATAAAGAAAAGTGTCTGTTTCTCCCAGGCTACTTGCAAATCACTCCAATACCATCAGAGGGCGTGAAAAACTTGGACATGCGTCTTTACGCAGGCAGTACGCAATCATCTCCTTCTCTCTATCACTCTATCTTGCTTTCTCTCTCACACGCACTTGCACCACACACACACACAAACATACAGTGATACAGTGAGGGAAAAATTTATTTGATCCCCTGCTGATTTTGTACGTTTGCCCACTGACAAAGAAATGATCAGTCCATAATTTTAATGGTAGGTTTATTTGAACAGTGAGAGACAGAATAACAACAACAAATCCAGAAAAACGCATGTCAAAAATGTTATAAATTGATTTGCATTTTAATGAGGGAAATAAGTATTTGACCCCCTCTCAATCAGAAAGATTTCTGGCTCCCAGGTGTCTTTTATACAGGTAACGAGCTGAGATTAGGAGTACACTCTTAAAGGGAGTGCTCCTAATCTCAGTTTGTTACCTGTATAAAAGACACCTGTCCACAGAAGCAATAAATCAATCAGATTCCAAACTCTCCACCATGGCCAAGACCAAAGAGCTCTCCAAGGATGTCAGGGACAAGATTGTAGACCTACACAAGGCTGGAATGGGCTACAAGACCATCGCCAAGCAGCTTGATGAGAAGGTGACAACAGTTGGTGCGATTATTCGCAAATGGAAGAAACACAAAATAACTGTCAATCTCCTTCAGCCTGGGGCTCCATGCCAGATCTCACCTCGTGGAGTTGCAATGATCATGAGAACGGTGAGGAATCAGCCCATAACTACACGGGAGGATCTTGTCAATGATCTCAAGGCAGCTGGGACCATAGCCACCAAGAAAACTATTGGTAACACACTACGCCGTGAAGGACTGAAATCCTGCAAGGTCCCCCTGCTCAAGAAAGCACATATACAGGCCAGTCTGAAGTTGCCAATGAACATCTGAATGATTCAGAGGAGAACTGGGTGAAAGTGTTGTGGTCAGATGAGACCAAAATCGAGCTCTTTGGCATCAACTCAACTCACCATGTTTGGAGGAGGAGGAATGTTGCCTATGACCCCAAGAACACCATCCCCACCGTCAAACATGGAGGTGGAAACATTATGCTTTGGGGTGTTTTTCTGCTAAGGGGACAGGACAACTTCACTGCATCAAAGGGACGATGGACGGCGCCATGTACCGTCAAATCGTGGGTGAGAACATCCTTCCCTCAGCCAGGGCATTGAAAATGGGTCGTGGATGGGTATTCCAGCATGACAATGACCCAAAACACACGGCCAAGGCAACAAAGAGTGGCTCAAGAAGAAGCACATTAAGGTCCTGGAGTGGCCTAGCCAGTCTCCAGACCTTAATCCCATAGAAAATCTGTGGAGGGAGCTGAAGGTTCGAGTTGCCAAACATCAGGCTCGAAACCTTAATGACTTGGAGAAGATCTGCAAAGAGGAGTGGGACAAAATCCCTCCTGAGATGTGTGCAAACCTGGTGGCCAACTACAAGAAACGTCTGACCTCTGTGATTGCCAACAAGGGTTTTGCCACCAAGTACTAAGTCATGTTTTGCAGAGGGGTCAAATACTTATTTCCCTCATTAAAATGCAAATCAATTTATAACATTTTTTACATGCGTTTTTCTGGATTTTTGTTGTTGTTATTCTGTCTCTCATTGTTCAAATAAACCTACCATTAAAATGATAGACTGATCATGTCTTTGTCAGTGGGCAAACGTACAAAATCAGCAGGGGATCAAATACTTTTTTCCCTCAATGTAGTATAATCATTGCAATTTATCAATGGGTTGCAGTGTAGTCATTTGAACGTAACACACAACCAAACCAAAATATATACATAAAGATGTAATACACTATATTTATTGATATGAATACAAAATACACATTTAATCCCCCCATTATCCCATTTTGGTTTATAAACGTATTTCCAATAACCTCACACATCCAACTCCACATAGCCGTATTAAGAGCTGAGGCAATATGGATGGGACAGATATGTTGTTGTTTGAGGTATATGTTCTAACATCATATTCAGCACAATGCAGCTAAACTTTCAAGATAGGCTACAGTCAATTCTATGTTATGGGACTACAAGATTAACTGAAAACTACAACAGCATAATATAGGACACCATCAAGACAAAATGAATATAACAAATACAACAATAGCAGTGGTGTAAAGTACTTAAGTAAAAATACTTGAAAGTACTACTTAAGTCGTTTTTGGGGGTATCTGTACTTTTACTTCACTACATTCCTAAAGAAAATGATGTACTTTTTATTCCACACATTTTCTCTGACACCCAATAGTACTCGTTACATTTTGAATGCTTAGCAGGACAGGAAAACTGTCTAATTCACACACTTATCAAGAGAATATCCCTGGTCATCCCTACTGCCTCTGATCTGGCGGACTCACTAAACACATGCCTCTGTAAATTATGTCTGAGGTTGGAGCGTGCCCCTGGCTATCCATAAATAAATAAAAAAACAAGAAAATGATGCCCTCTGGTTTGCTTTATATAAGGAATTTGAAATTATTTATACTTTTACTTTTACTTTTGATACTTAAGTATATTTTAGCAATTACATTTACTTTTGATACTTAACTATATTTAAAACCAAATACTTTTAGACTTTTACTCAAGTAGTATTTTACTGGGTGACTTTCACTTTTACTTGAGTCATTTTCTATTAAGGTATCTTTACTTTGACTCAAGTATGAAAATTGGGTACTTTCTCCACCACTGAACAATAGTAACCAGGTTTCCATCCAACCTTCTTATGAGAGTAAAGTACATGTCGGATAATTTTTTTTAATGAAAGGCCTGATGGAAATAGAACATTTGTTGGTAAACTTCCCAAATGTCAACGAAACAAAATACACTAGGCAAGGTAGGAGTTTTTAGTGTCTGTAAAATTAATTATGCGAGAAATGTCGGTGGAAACGCTTTTATGCTCAAATAATGATATAGTAACCATCATACATTTGGAGTCAAGTGATGACATGTTGTGTGGTCCACCCACGATGACTCGGGAAAGCATGCAGTTAATTAGGTTACAGATTAAATCAATTATGATGAACTTCACAGGGTGGGAAAGGGAATACCAAGTCAGTTGCACAACTGAACGCATTCAACCGAAATGTCCTCCAACCCTGTCTGGTCTGTGTCTCTGTCTGTCTGTCTGTGGTGAAAGCCCAAGGTGATGAGCTTGATGCTGTTTTGCAATAAATATCGGGGGTCTTATTCTGGTGACATGATGATCGATGCTTGACTGCCATTTGACAAATAAAAATAATCTTGCTCTTTTGTCCATAATAATCTCATCATGTAGTCTATTCCCACACGAGCTAGAGCGCACGTGCCAATACCAGAGGGCACATTCGTTATCTATTGTAATATTTTTTTTGTGATAAAACCGTCAGTAGAGTTGAAAATGCGATGGAAACCCATTTAACTTTCTTTTTTTTTTTTTCGGTATATGGTATATGGGAATTTAACCGCAAAAGTACTAGTAGCACTATGTCATCACGCACATACCTTTATCTACAACAAGTCAATATGATGGAAACACATCTCTGGTGGGAAAATGCACATATTTGATTTATGCATACTTTAGAACATTTGCATGAAAATCTGTCAACAATGGGATGGAAACCTTGCTAGTGTAAATTAATATTTGTTTGGTAGTGAGGTTATTAAAGCCTGTTGATACATCTCTCTCGCTCGCTCGCTCGCTCACTCACTCACTCACTCACTCACTCACTCACTCACTCACTCACACTCACACTCACACTCACACTCACACTCACACTCACACTCACACACACACACACACACACACACCACACACCACACACACACACACACACTCACTCTCTCTCTCTGTTCACTCCACCGCAATCTCTCAGGCAGCATGCTCCCCCTGTGGTGCCTGCAGGCTGATCTTGGTGTTCTGGTCGTTATCAGTCTCGTGGGGGTCGGTTGGCAGTGGGTCGTAGGTGCGGCGGTACAACGCCCGTGTGACCAGGGTGATGATGAACATCTCCACAATCATTAGCTTCTGACTCAACACTGCAGACAGACAGATAGACACAGACCAGACAGGGTTGGAGGACATGGACTTCATATTGATCAAGTAATGGCTCTCGTTTGGACCGGTTTGGACCTGTTCTGTCACTTACTGGTGCCACGGGCTCTAGAGGAGAAGGGCGGGGAGCAGGCGATGGTTCCATCCAAGGCCAGGATGTTAATAATGGCCGTCTGCAGCTGACTGAGCACCAGCACCAGCTATGGACACATGACCAGTGGCATCATGGAGATACATTGAATATTAGGATGTAGGAATGGACACTGCCAGACCCAATCAGACATAACATTCCACAAAGCCAAGGTCAAGGACTCAGTAAATGACAGTAGATTATGTATTCTCATCAATGGCACTTAGAAGAAGGCAGTTCCTTGACCAGCTGGTTGGTGCAGTAAGGTCAGACTCACCTGGTACATGGCATACTTAGGTATGATCCTAAGGCTGTGCAGTGTCTTGCATGTGTTCATGAACATGATGGCGACAGGCCAAAGGGAGATGATGGTGAGAACCCCTATAAATGGGTTGATCCAAATAGCCGTGCCTTTGATCCCCAGCTAAACATCGAGACATGGAGAAAGGTCAAAGAGGGTAGGTTATGCACAGTGGACCTACATGGCATGCCACCAGGCTCAGTTGGAAACGTAAGGTGTAGAGGGGGTGTTTGTTTTTGCTGACAGGATTTTCACAAGAAGGAAGTTTATTACTTACATCAGAAATATCAAAGTTGCCATTGGTCCACAATATTATGGAGAGGATTGAGAGAACTGTCTTTAAGATAGCATACTGAAGAGCCCCCAGCTTCAGCATGAATAACATGCGCCTGAATGAAAACAGCCCAAAGTTATTAGCATGTTCTTACCACTGTATACATTACCAACACAAATAATCATCTGGCCCAAGAGTGACCTGAGCATGAGTCATCATGTGGCCTGACTTATGTTGAAAGATAAAGTAATGTGACACTTTATATATCTTCATAAGAATAATTATCATCATAACCAAACCAGTTTGGCTGATATATTGCTGTTTGATGACAGGCCCTGGTGTGCCCCTGGTTACCGTGTGACTGGAACACGTGGCAGGCAGGGGCAGCAGCAGCAGCAGGGTCCTGTACTGATCTTGAAGGTTTTCTTGTAATTGCGCTTCAGAAATGTCTCACTACCCCCACTCTCCTCTATCATCAAAACCAAGACCTTATACACCACCACTGCAAAGTACCTATAGAGAAAAGGAGAGGGTTTACTTGTAAGATACATTGTACAGTGCCTTCAGAAAGTATTCACACCCCTTTACTTTTTCCACATTTTGTTGTGTTACAGCTTGAATTTAAAATCGATTAAATTTAGAGTTTTTTTGTCACTGGCCTACACACAATACCCCATAATGTCAAAGTGGAATTAGGTTTTTCAAAATTCTTACAAATTAATTAAAAGTGAAAAGTTGAAATGTCTTGAGTAAATAAGTATTCAACCCCTTTGTAATGGCAAGCCTAAATAAATTCAGAAGTAAAAATGTGCTTAACAAGTCACATAATAAGTTGCATGGACTCAAATTGTATTTGTCACATACACGTGTTTAGCAGATGTTATAGCGGGTGTAGTGAAATGCTTGTGCTTCTAGCTCCGACAGTGCAGTAATATCTCTGTGTGCAATAATAGTGTTTAACATGATTTTTGAATGACTACCTTATCTCTGTACCCCACACATACAATTATCTGTAAGGTCCCTCAGTCGAGCAGTGAATTTCAAACACAGATTCAACCACAAAGACCAGGAAGGTTTTCCAATGCCTCGTAAAGAAGGGCACCTATTGGTAAATGGGTAAATAAAATAAAGCAGACATTGAATATCCCTTTGAGCATGGTGAAGTTATTAATTACACTTTGGATGGTGTATCAATACACACAGTCACTACAATGATACAGGCGTCCTGCCTAACTCAGTTGCCGGAGAGGAAGGAAACAGCTCAGGGATTTCACCATGAGGCCAATGGTGACTTTAAAACAGTTATAACATTTTATAGTTGTGATAGGAGAAAACTGAGGATGGATCAACAACATTGTAGTGACTCCACAATACTAACCTAAATGACAAAGTGAAAAGAAGGAAGCCTGTACAAAATTAAAATATTCCAAATGCATCCTGTTTGCAATAAGGCACTAAAGTAATACTGCAAAAATGTGGCAAAGCAATTAACTTTTTGTCTTGAATACAAAGTGTTATGTTTGGGGCAAATCCAATACAACACATCACTGAGTACCACTCTCCATATTTTCAAGCATAGTGGTGGCTGCATCATGTTATGGGTATGTTTGTAATCGTTAAGGACTGGGGAGTTTTTCAGGATAAAAAAGAAATGGAATGCAGTTAAGCATAGGCAAAATCTTAGAGGAAAACACGGTTTAGTCTGCTTTCCACCAGACACTGGGAGATGAATTCACCTTTCAGCAGGACAATAACCTAAAACACAAGGCCAAATCTACACTGGATTTGGTTACCAAGAAGACAGTGAATGTTCCCGAGTGGCCGAGTTGCAGTTTTGACTTAAATCTATTTGAAGATCTATGGCAAGACCAGAAAATGGTTGTCTAGCAACAAACAACAACCAATTTGACAGAGCTTGAAGAATTTTGAAAAGAATAATGGCAAATGTTGCACAATCCAGGTGTGGAAAGCTCTTAGAGACTTACCCAGAAAGACTCACAGCTTTAATCGCTGCCAAAGGTGCTTCTACAAAGTATTGACTCAGGGGTGTGAATACTTATGTCAATTAGATATTTCTGTATTTCATTTTCAATAAATGTGCAAAGATTTCTAAAAACATGTTTTCACTTAGTCATTATGGGGTAATGTGTATAGATGGTTGAGAATATATATTTTACAAGCTATAACACAACAAAATGTGGAATAAGTCAAGGGGTATAAATACTTTCTGAAGGCACATAATGAGTGTGTGACCAACCAGTTAGTCTGCGCATTCAACCTTTGTTTGTGTCCCAAAAAGTTTGTGTTTGTTTGTGTCATTTACTGTATTTTTTCCTATCAGCTCTCTGTGGATGTGGGCTGATCTCTGATCTTTCCCAGACACTAACACAGTGTAATGATTAAGAAAGTGATTAAACTGTGGTTACATAGTTGAGTGCATTCATTAAAAAGCCTCCTCCGCTTTATGTCAGTGCTCCTTGCTATGGTTCCCTGTCAGCTCATTATTACAGGAGGAAGAGCACTGCATCTCTATAGTAAAGTATAGTACACATGTTTTTTCCTTTATAGGAGGATGTGAAAGAGAGAGAGAAGAAGAAGAGAGAGAAAGAGCGAGAGCGCGCAGAGAGAGAGAGAGATAGAGAGAGAGAGAGAGAGAGAGAAAGAGAAAGAAGAGAGAGAGAGCGATGCGAAGAGAGAGACAAAGAATAATAGAGAAGAAGCAGAAGAAGATATAGATAGAGAGCGTCGAAATTGATATTCGATATATACAGCGCGAAGAGAGCGATGATATACTAACTCGAGCGAGCGCTCGAGCTAAATAAATATACGGGGCTCGCGCGCCGTCCCGTCAAAAGTTGTTATGTGGGTGAGAGGAATCTTACGAATTAGAGGTCATATCTGTAAACATGGTTGCCCTTGGGATCCACATCCCAAAACAAGCCATGGTGGCAATGACCTGAGACAGAGACAGAATGATACGTTCAGCCATCTATTCATCATCCACATGGTTCTTATTCATATAAAGACAACATCAAATAGTCATGACAAAAATATGATCACAGAATGACAGACATTCACATTTACAACTTGAAAAAGAACACGGAAACAGATGTATTGAATGTACGCTCTGCTCCGTATATTCATATATATGGTGATGGCTACTGGAAACAGGGAGCTTAGTTCTTACCGGTGCAGCTCCATTTACCCACATAATAGTTGCCTTCTTGGGAGATGGGACTTTTCTATAGATGAACACACACTCCTCCAGGTATAGCAGCAGGGACACGGTAGACATGAGGGTCAGCATGGAGTACAGAGCCATCCCAAAGACATCCAGCTCTAGTTGAGGGACAGAGAGTAAGGAGTTCAGACGGTAGAGAGAGAGAGAGAGAGAGAGAGAGAGAGAGAGAGGTTGTATAGGTCATTGAGAAATCCATTACTGGACCATTTATTGTATTCTATCTAAGTAGCAGCCCCTGGCAACAACAACCTGACATTAGGATAGGTCAGTGCCCTGACCACATCCCCATGGATTGGACACAACAGTATTTTTGAAACAGCATCATTTTAGCTCTCTTATTTAGCCACAGCTTCTTTTGAGGTTGAGTGCAAATTAGTTCCCAACAATACTTCACTCGGTCCAGCGTAAACCCAGCTGTCTAAGTGTATCCTGAGTGGTTTAATATGGACTGAGATTAAGGCTATCAGCAGAAACGTAAATTACTCTTAAAGAGATGTTACCTGAATGAAAAGGATGAAAGGTCATGCAAGTTATTTGTCATTCATATCAAATGATCCATCATACTACTTCTCAGGACAGAAAATGACTGTGGAGAAACCAAATATGCATATCTGTGGTCTACATATGGAGATTTGATGATGGGCAGAGTGAAAGAGATTTAATCAAACATAGCGTGAGCACAGCCAATGCTGTCCCTCTAAAACAGCCTGTATCACAGACTGTAGACTACCATTTGAAGGACATGTTTACTCAGAAGCTGTTTATTGGGCTCGCCTGTGTATTGAAGATGGCTCTGTGAACTGGAAAGTGAATGAACAAATCAATGAATTAATTAATTTACAAATTAATAAATATGTTAACTCTCAAGCTACCAAATGGGATCATTTTGACCACAGAGGCATATTTTTGACCATACATAGGGGGTTTATTCAAACCTTCACATTTTTAATGACTTTGTCAATCAACTTGTCCTTAACAAATTGAAATAATTATTTAGTGTTTCCGTACCAATATGGGTGTTCCCCAAAAAATTTGGGGGCAATTTGAACTTTTCTAATGTGGATAGTACTTTCAGAAAAAGCTGCACATCATATAAATAACATTTTCGCTTATATTTTCGTTTGAAATAATATGCTAATTAACTGTAATTTAGCTAAAATAGCAGTCTGTTTTTTTTTTTTTTTTTTTTTTATCTGATAACATTCATTATATATCTAATGATGTTTTGATAAGAAATACGTTTATATTTTGCGATGATTGTTGCTTTTTCCAATAGTTTCTTCTTGCGGTCAAAATGACCGCAATTGGTAATCGATGAATGTAAAATATGTTGATAACTTGAGAGTTAAGTTACTGCAGTAAATCAAACATTAAAAACCGCCTCCTGCGTCCCAAAAAGGTGTTATTAGAATGCGCTTAAAAAACAACACCGAAATCTATAATGAAACACTATTTGCGAACTGATAGATAACTTCATCTGTGTCACTCACGCTTTATGATATCGATAGCCAGCGGAGGTTCTTGTAAACAGGTCGGATGTATAGTGCTGTTGAGGGCTTCTTCCATATCCATGGTCAGTTGAAGTCGCTAATGTATAGACTCGCAGGTGGTGAAAATATACAGAAAATAAACTATCCGAGATATATCTCTTTCCCACTGACAGCAGTTATAGGAGCTGCGAGGAAACGGACTGCAACAGGTAGACTGTTGAACCTTCTGAGGAATGAGGGTATGAGTAAGTTCTTAGCTCAGTGAATGCTGCTGGGTCTACTAGTCACTGGGACCACCTCCGGATAGAGAATGGCAGATAATTTTATTTCATTCAAATCTTAAGAACTACTGCACTTACTGAGCAACCTTGCTTATCAGGGGATGCCCAATGCCCCACAGTAGGCTCCTGTACCTCTCAGTGGAATTACTTGCCCATAGATTTTATTTACATTCACACAGGAGAAGGAACTTTGACTGGGGTGTATGTCTTCTTGCCAGCCAATATACAGGAATAAAAGGAGTTGAGATTTTACCAAGTGAATCCAAGGAAAAAATAATGTAGTATTGTTCAGCCCTCAATCTTGTTGTGGGTTTATTTAAACAGTATCACCTCTCTACCTCTCTCTCTCTCTCTCTCTCTCTCTCTCTCTCTGATGATCTGGTGTCATTTAATTTCAGCATTCTGCCAATCTTATTTATGTCTGATGTAAATATCTCTAGAATTAATTGCCTTCACTGTTTTTTTCGTCATTTTGTCATTGTGTATCTCTGTCACTTTTAGCAACTAACATTTTTAGTGCCACATCACCTGTCCCCATATACATTAGCCAGAATAAAGACTGTCTGGCAGTGGGATGTAGCAACTAATTATAGATGGATTCGAAAGGGGTCTCATCACGGAACTGCATAATTGCATTTGAGCTAGGAAAAACATGATTAAAAGGTCAAAAGGTTGGACACACCTACTCATTCAAGGGTTTTTCTTTATTTTTTACTATTATCTACATTGTAGAATAATAGTGAAGACATCAAAACTATGAAATAACACATATGGAATCAAGTAGTAACCAAAAAAGTGTTAAACAAATCAAAATATATTTTATATTTGAGATTATTCAAATAGCCACCCTTTGCCTTGATGACAGCTTTGCACACTCTATGTATGTAGGATAAGAAAATGAGGTCCAATCAGCATACCTGGTTCCAAATTAAGTGAAGGGAGAAGGTGGACCATGATCCAAAAACAGACCTGGATGGATTACAGCCAAACGGCTTGCAATAATAAGAGATGAAGATAAAAGGAGTAGAGAGAGTGCAAGAGAGACAGAGCCTAAAAAACATGTGTCTGAATAAGAAGCCATGCATTTGCTTTGCCCGCAAAGACACCTGTAGATAGAGTCATGTGTGGCTTCTCCATAGACATGGGCTTCTCACACATTTCTCTCCATCCGCTACAACTCAGATGGATGGCAGAGAGTTCATTCCCCCACAGCAGACACTGTCACACTCTGTCCCTTCAAATCCCATCAGGGTTATAATCACATTCCTGTGAAGGGAATGTCCTTGAGATACAAACCACTCAGTGTCACTTCAATGCCATAACAGAGATAACCATCTAAACCTGCTGCTTTATTTTGCCAAGACAAACAATTCATCCTGAACAATAGTGGCTCATCAAATCAAAGTTTACTGGTTGCATACACAGTTTAGCAGGTGTTATAGTGGGTGCAGCGAAATGCTTATGCTACTAGCTCCTAACAATGCAGTTAAATGTCAAACAGGTACACAAATAATACATTAAAAAAAGACAAAACAAATAAAGAAATGTCAGAATTCAATGAACAACCCAAATAGCACTTTAACAATAATCCAACTGCAATTTATATGTATCTACACCAGATGAATTTATACAAGATATACTAGGAATTATATGTACAGTAGATATATTAGAGTGAACCATGTCAAGAATCCAGTATATAAATAAATATACACTGCGTATAAACAGTGCAACTAAAATGCAATGTACAGTAGTATAAATATTAGAATGAGCTATGTCGAGAATACAGTATATATTACAGTACAAAACCCAGTAGAAAAATTGATAGAATTGCAGGAAATTAGCTTCCGGACTTGAGTCCTGAATATAAATAAAATATATGTATGTGAATGGTGTGTACGGACAGTATGGACAGTATGTGAACAGAAAAGGTGTGTACAGCAGTATAGGATGGGCCATGACTAGAATACAGTACAGTGCCTTGCAAAAGTATTCATCCCCCTTGGCGTTTTTACTATTTTGTAGCATTACAACCTGTAATTTAAATGGACTTTTATTTGGATTTCATGTAATGGACATACACAAAATAGTCCAAATTGGTGAAGTGAAATGAAAAAATTACTTATTTCAAAAAATTCGAAAAAATAAATAACGGAAAAGTGGTGCGTGCATATGTATTCACCCCCTTTGCTATGAAGCCCCTAAATAAGATCTGGTGCAACCATTTACCTTCAGAAGTCACATAATTAGTTAAATAAAGTCCACCTGTGTGGAATCTAAGTGTCACATGATCTGTCACATGATCTCAGTATATATACACCTGTTCTGAAAGGCCCCAGAGTCTGCAGCACCACTAAGCAAGGGGCACCACCAAGCAAGCGGCACCATGAAGACCAAGGAGCTCTCCAAACAGGTCAGGGACAAAGTTGTGGAGAAGTACAGATCAGGGTTGGGTTATAAAAAAAATATCTGAAACTTTGAACATCCCACAGAGCACCATTAAATCCATTATAAAAAAATGGAAAGAATATAGCACCACAACAAACCTGCCAAGAGAGGGCCGCCCACCAAAACTCACGGACCAGGCAAGGAGGGCATTAATCAGAGAGGCAACAAAGACACCAAAGATAACCCTGAAGGAGCTGCAAAGCTCCACAGCGGAGATTGGAGTTTCTGTCCATAGGACCACTTTAAGCTGTACACTCCATAGAGCTGGGCTTTATGGAAGAGTGGCCAGAAAAAAGCCATTACTTAAAGAAAAAAATAAGCAAACACGTTTGGTGTTTGCCAAAAGGCATGTGGGAGACTCCACAAACATATGGAAGAAGGTACTCTGGTCAGATGAGACAAAAATTGAGCTTTTTGGCCATCAAGGAAAATGTCTGGCGCAAACCCAACACCTCTCATCACCCCGAGAACACCATCCCCACAGTGAAGCATGGTGATGGCAGCATCGTGCTGTGGGGATGTTTTTCCATCGGCAGGGACTGGGAAACTGGTCAGAATTGAAGGAATGATGGATGGTCCTAAATACAGGGAAATTCTTGAGTGAAACCTGTTTCAGTCTTCCAGAGATTTGAGACTGGGACGGAGGTTCACCTTCCAGCAGGACAATGACCCTAAGCATACTGCTAAAGCAACATTTGAGTGGTTTAAGGGGAAACATTTAAATGTCTTGGAATGGCCTAGTCAAAGCCCAGACCTCAATCCAATTGAGAATCTGTGGTATGACTTAAAGATTGCTGTACACCAGTGGAACCCATCCAACTTGAAGGAGCTGGAGCAGTTTTGCCTTGAAGAACGGGCAAAAATCCCAGTGGCTAGATGTGCCAAGCTTATAGAGACATACCCCAAGAGACTTGCAGCTGTAATTGCTGCAAAAGGTGGCTCTACAAAGTATTGACTTTGGGGGGGGGGGGGGGTGGTAAATAGTAACGCACGCTCAAGTTCTGTTTTTTTGTCTTATTTGTTTCGCAATAAAAAATATTTTTCATCTTCAAAGTGGTAGGCATGTTGTGTAAATCAAATGATACAAACCCCCCAAAAATCTATTTTAATTCCAGATTGTAAGGCAACAAAATAGGAAAAATGCCAAGGGGGGTGAATACTTTCACAAGCCACTGTATATACATATAAAGTGGGTAAAACAGTATGTGAACATTATTAAAGTGACCAGTGTTCAATGATTATGTACTGTACATAGGGCAGCAGTCTCTAAGATGCAGGGTAGAAAACTGGGCGGGGTACTGGGCGGAGGCCGGCTGGTGGTGACTGTTTTAACAGTCTGATGGCCTGGAGATATAAGCTGATTATCAGTCTCTCGGTCCCAGTATTGATGCACCTGTACTGTCTCCACCTTCTACATGGTAGCGGGGTGAACAGGCTGTGGCTCGGCTGGCTGGGGTCCTTGATGATCTTCTTGGCCTTCCTGACACCTCATCTTAATGAGGTAACAAAAGCGAAGGCTGTGATCTTCTTTGCATCTTTGTCACAGACACCTCATTCCTTGACCCCACTGTGTGTGTGAACAGTCTTATACTGCTAAACTTTGCCCTCACGTTTCCCACAGATTTACCATCTTACTAAGTGACTCATGACAGTGGCTTCTTTTGGCTTGGCTTTTGTCACATTGCTCTCTCACCCTATACAGTGGTCCAGTGGCGATTTTAGCATGTACATTTCAGTGGGGAAAAAAAATATCCATGTGGGATGCATGCCAGCAAAGCCACTACACAACACAACACTAAACAATACATTAATTGCACTATAACGGTGACAAACGGTGCCCACAAACTGTTAGGGCCTACATAAAGCTGTCCCAACAGCAGTCCGAACACCTTACCACTGCTACACCTGGCTATCAGCGGAGCAGTTCATTCAGCCTAATTTACTGCATAGCTGATATGGCTGACTTGCTTAAACAAATGTGATTTCTACTGACAATTGAGATGTACAAACTATGGCATAAGGGGACGACAAGCGGATAAGAGGCAATCCGTAATTTGGCTTAACCTCCTAGGGCTTAGTGGTCACATACGTGGACAGCACTTTTTAGCTCTTATGTCCACAATTGTGTAGAAGTTCTGTCATATTTCATGGCTTATTCTGATTTAGATATTTATAAAAGCCTTGTATATTTGTCATGACATGCAAATGTGAAAAAAAAAGTGTAAAACTAGCAACTTTGTAGGTCGCTAAACATGAAGTACACGTAAGTGTACTTATGGACTGAGGCTCCTCGAAACAGCTAATATGCTTGTAAACATGCACACACGTAAAATGGGAAAAAAGCTAGATCTGATGCAGCTAAAAAGCTGTACATGGTCCCAATGAAATAAATAACAATTAAATCACTAAATACATACATACATACTTAAATTAGTTGTGTTGAAAATGTTAGCCTAATGCAATTCGGACCATGAATCCACATATGTGGACATCATTTTTCTCTAAAAGTACATCATATCAAAAGATGATACTTAGTTTTTATTCTAATTAGGTTCCAATAAGCCCAAATAGCAAAGAGAAATAAAAAATGCATGTAAAAAAACAGCTTGGGCCTTAAGAGGTTAAGACATTAATGAGCGAGCTAGGACGGACGTAGTCAATATAACTATTTGTTCAGCACTTTTGAAATGTACAGCGACAGAACTCAGAACATGGGCTGTTCTTACAGTATTCTCCCTGTACACCAAGTCAGAACCATAGGATAAATAAAGGGGGAATATAAGCATATTATACATTTTTGGACTCACCTTGTTGTGCTGTGCTCACTTGAACAGGAAGGTGGCGCGGCGGTCCTTCGTGGGCAGATTTTGTCATCAAAGTCTGGCATTTCTCTGGATTTATGGTGCTTTCAAGACAACTGGGAACTCTGAAAAAAACAAGGTTGAATCATGATGACGTCAGTGATCTTCAGGTCGTAGCTCTAGAAAGAGGCCCGAGTTCCGGATTTACAATTCCGAGTTGGATGACCGTTCAAAACGTATTTTCCCAGTCCCAGCTTGTTTTTCCCCGAGTTCCCAGTTGTCTTGAACTCACGGAAGTCAGATTTCGCATTTCCGAGTTAACAGTTGTTTTGAGTGCGGCACAAATCATGCTTCATTGACAGCATGGCCAATGTTGAATGTTTATCATTTTAAGCTTGGAAAAGAGACCCTTAATCGCAGACTTGGGACCACACAGCCACTCCACTGAATAGCAGGCTAGTGATTTCTTCGCAATGCTTGCAGTTAGCCAATGATTCCTTCCAAACTACTCATTGTTGAATTTGCGATTTCCAACTTGTGTAATGTTTATGATCAATGGCCGATGAGCACCGATATGTTTTATCTATAATTTCTCTTCATTATTTCTCTTCATATGGCAAGGATTCAAAAGGATTTGCCAGTAGATTGTCGACTTGATTCATGATGACTGCTAGCTAAGATTTTGAAAGTATGATGTTGACATGATCAGTCCAATCAAAGCTACTGTAGATATAACGTTATTTGACGTCATTTTATCTGTGGCCAAAGACCTTGAGCCTTCTTGCATGGGCACTTCCAATGTAACTCTATGGCAGCACCCAAGGGGCTTGAATTTTCTAGCTCTACACTTAGAATTGGCGGTGACGTAGTGTCCCAATGAGTGACAGAACACTGAGCCAATCACAGTGCAACTAGAGAACATTACCAACACCTACGCTCCATATTTTCCGCTGGCTGCCCCACCACCACAGAAAGCACTGAGCTAGGCTGAAACACCTGCAATTTGGAGCTGCCTTAATCAATAAAGCAAAAAAGAGACGTTTGTATGTGGCTTTATTAACTCAATGGTTATTTATGTATTTATTTTTACATTGTTTGCAAACTGATATGTGACACGTATTAATGCCAAAATAACATGCAAAACAGGCAAGCCAAAAAAAACACAAAAACAACATTTAATTTTTTTAGCTAAAAATGTGGGGCTCTGCCCCACCTGCCCTGAGTGAAGGGTCGCCACTGCAGTGGTCCAACTAAAATGTTATCCAGACTGTGATCAAAATTGAGACAAGTCTTTAATAAAACCACTTTATATAGTTTGTAAATGAGACCTTTTCCTTACTCAGTGGGTATCTAATTTAAACATGTGTAGTGAGTTCCACAGCATAAATAGCATATGGCACAGAGAGCAAACGGTACAGTATGTCTCAGATGGAATCACCTAAGACCAATACCCAGTCAAAGGTTACTGGCTTTGGCTGGCTCAGGAATATGTCATATCATGGATGATAAAAACCTGTCTTTCTATAGTCTTTCAAAACAAATCAATAACATTCAATAAATTCACTGTGATCCAGTGAAAAGAGGCTGTCTCTGTGGCCGTCTAGGAGCAGAACAGTTTAACATTTAAATACAGGTAAGTTAATAATTTTGTTCAGGTATAAAAATTGGGGTACAAAAACATGTGCATTTATTCCCAGCTTCCTGCCTGCAGTTCTCTCATCTCAGCAGTACCTACCCTTATTGATCATGGCACGATCTAGGCCTAGGGTATCAAGTGTAAAAATGGGCAACCAACATTGTTAGAAACAATGTAAGAGTCCATTAATCAAGTATTTGACTGCACTACAAACATTTATTAAAATATACACATTAATGCATTTAATTGTATTAGACATAGAAAACTTTGTGCAAACTATTTCAAAATTTAGAGTATATAAAAAGAAAAACATTAGCAAACCAAAACGGTTTGACAGGGTCCTACAAATATAGTTAGAAAACACTAAAACATGCAAACAGACCCCCCCCCCCCCAAAAAAAGAATATATTAATAAAAAGGAAATTGATCCATGATTTACCTTCGACAGTTTGTGAATATACAATGTAGCACAAAATATTTATATGGCATTAATGTAAAAAGTTATTCAAATTATGAGTCGGGTTAAAGTCATGACGCTTTTACTCTACATTATTCCACAATAAGGTGTTATACCATCATATATGCGTCCAGTAAACAAACAGCTTGTACATTCCAAACAACTCTCCTAAAAACCACACAGATCATAGTCAGTTGGAAATGTAGAAACCTGATCACAGATATTCTGAAATAAATCATTTCTCCATTGAGATGCCCATCTCTACCCTCCACCTGGTGGTCTGTGTCCATCCTGACATTACGTATTACAGCATAACAGTAACTTTCCCAGGGACTGCACATGGAAACTGGCCTACCCCTATTAACAAATCTCATTCAATACATTGTACATTTTTCCCGACAAAACAATAACAAGAAATTAGCTATAAATCATGATCATCATCAGTATCAAAGAAAGCAGCATTTGCATTGGAAAATGTTGTGCTTTTAAGAACATAAAACATTGATATCTTGCAGACATACAACTCCCTTTAAAAAAAAAATACATGGCAATGCGGACAATAGACCATTTTCCACGACTCTGACGTCACGCACAGATGCGCGCGGCAGTAAGAAAGCCGTCGCCATTTGCGCCCATTCAACATAGCCTAGATTTACGTTTTTATTACTTCTAAACAAAATAACTTTTTGGGGTTCTCATACGCTTACAATTATGTTTTGCTTGAACAGTTGCTAAGATTATATTCGGTTGTTATCTTTGCAAAATAACTATTTTAGAAGCAGGAGTTGTAAGCTAGAATGCTAACTCTCACTGATATATAGGCTTTAACAAAAGCTAGCCAAAGAGCCATTTTACTGGTTGAAGTGTTTAAGAATAATGCAGTTGATTTGCGATGACACAAACATTATATTAAGCAGGACATTCAAACGAGCCTTCAAATCCAATTATAATCCAAAAGTAGTGTGATATACACTACATGTAAAGAGGCTTTTTCTGCTGTCGTTCTATAAGAATTCCCCTTGTTCTGCTACCAACTTGCACGCATCTCCCTCCTGCGGCAATGTTTGCAAACACAGAAAGGTGTCTATAGCAATAAAAACAATGGAAAAACAGAAACTTAAAAGAAAGCTTGAAAACCAATACTTAATGTAATAACAATCCTGTATAATGTTCAAAAACTACAGTAGGTATTGGGACAGCGACACATTTGTTGTTTTGTCTCTGTACTCCAGCCCTTTGGATTTGAAAAAAAGACAGTCAGCTTAAATTTGAGGGCATTTTCATTACTATCTTGAAAACAGTTTAGAAATTAAAGCACACGTTATTCATAAGGACTATCCGTAATCATGGTAGCATCCACATTAATTTATATGTGCTTAGAAACATTCTATTCTTATTTACAATAAAAGTGACAATACATTATTTACCACATTTCTATTGGGCACAAAATAATTTAAAAACAACCAACACCAACCGCAAATGCATCCAACAAGTGTGTAGGGTCGCAAGCTTGATGTAATCATTGCGTGCTAGGAATATGGGACCAAATACTAAACTTAACTAGTTTAATACACCTATAAGTGACTTTGTCCCAATACTTTTGGTCCCCTAAAATGGGGGGACTATGTACAAACATTTCTAAACGGTTCACCCGATATGGATGAAAATACCCTCAAATTAAAGCGGACAGTCTGCACCGTAACCTCATAGTCATTGTATCATTTCAAATCCAACGTGCTGGAGTACAGAGCCAAAACAACAAAAAGCGTGTCACTGTATATATATATATATATATGTGTGTTGTTGAGTCCCAACCAAAGTATTGAGATGAAAGCGATAAACTTGTCACATAGATCACAATTCTGCGAAACACGCATCTCGAGTTAGGATGTAACTAAAATTAACAGTTTAAAATTGTAAACAGAAATTGTCAAGTAATTACACCATGTTAAGGCCAACCATTTACTATGGCACTGTACTTAACCTTTGTCCTTCCATACAACATAACAAAAAATCAGAACAAATTAACTGAAGGCACAATGCACATTTAAAGCTAGAAAAACCTGAGGGATGGGCCTAGAGAAATGTAACCACTCAAATTCATAGACAGAGCTATGGATGCAAGGTCTTACCAAAATGTATTTTAACCATGTTTTGAAGCTATACGGTGTTTGTTTACAATTACATTGTTTACAAACATTGGAGTAATAAAAGCTTATATTTTGGATTCTGTAGGGGTATGACAGTTGAACTAAGCTCATTAGTCATTTATAGGTTATATTCAAGAATCAATGGGTATATCATTAATTTACTAGGGGTTCTAGCTTTCAGTTAAGATGATGTAGAGCAGGAAAGGATTTGGAAAAGGGTCCTATAAAGTCTTGTTTCATATAAACCTACTGTAGGACTGTACGGCCTATTGAAATCAATGGATATGCTTAGCGCCCTCCACAGGGTTCAAATGTAAAGTGCATACAGTACACACACTCCAATCAACTGACAGTGCGCAAGACGTTCAGGGTCTGAAGACACAACATTGTATTCCCTGGGCTTAACCCAATCAAAACCAGTAACTGAGTTACTGGGGTAAGAAACAGTACACTTCCTTTTTTCCAATAAAGCAAGTGAATACAGATTTGACTGAGGTGTATAAGTGTAAAGCAATTATTTTCCTGCACTTTTCCTGAAATAATCTGACCTAGCGCAAATACTTATTTTTTTGGCTTGAATAACAGAGTAGTCCCAGAGATTAATAATAGTTACAAAAAAAGCTTTGGTTAAAAACAAAGGAAGTGTCTGTGAGAGAATATGTGTTTGGTGAGGACTTAAGACGGAGGCTGAAAGCTGATGAAAGCTCTGGTGACAGATGTAGCGTCTATGACAGTCCAGGTTGTGTCCATCGTACCAGGAATGCTGTTTGGTGGCTGTAAGAATGGCAATAGAAAAGATGGCCATACGAGAGCTGTTAATTGACATTTGTAGGGGTACTGCACATGATGATAGGGGCTGTTTTTTGTGGAGACAGATTCTGCTGGTTGTAAAGCATCACAGTTGATGGCTCAGTGGTCTCTTGGCAGATTTGAGCCAACTGGTAATCAATGATCATGGATGGTCATCAGTTTCTTCTAAGGTCTGTAGGAAATGTGCACACTTCAACGGGACTCATCCATAGGCTTACCTGTCTATGACTCGCTCTCTATGGTGACTGTGACCGTTTCGGCTACGTCTGAAACAAGGGTGAGAGGTAAGAGCTCAAGGTTCATGCAGCTCATTGACACAGGGCTACTTGACATCACAGGGATCTACATACCAGTTTTGTCGAAGCTGCCATCCTGATGGTCCTCAATGTGGTTGATGTTGTTGCCAAGGGTACTTGCAGGACCCTCTACAGAGCTGTTTCAGGACAAGGCTGGTATAAACTTCATGAATGAGGCGAGATCATTTACTTAAAATCAGGATTTAAAGAAATCAACCCAAGAAACCAACCTTTTGCCGTTGATCTGGAGGCCCCCAGCCATCTGCTCAGGATCTAAGTTCACCAACCGGGTGACAAAACTGTGTCCATCACCGTGACTGACAGAGAGAAAGGAGAGAAGAGAGAGCGACGGAGAGAGAGAGCGAGGGGGGAAAGAGACATTTAAACACCTACAGTGAAACTCTCTAAACTAGGTTTTTATTGACTAAAAGGCAAGACTAACTAAGATTCAAAACTATTCTAAAGCTCCAACAGAATTGGTGGATAGGTGACTTGGTGTTTTCACCTGCTGTAGATGGGAAACATCCAGTACTTCTTCTGGTCTCCAAAAACCTCAGCCATGTTCCTACTGAATCCCAGAGAGAAGCCATTCTTGTCTGGGCCATTTCTGAAGACAGGAGCCCTAAAAGCCTCTGAAATAAAAAACATAGAATAAATAAACCAATAATATTAGTTGCGAGCAGCAATGAACAGGGTTCACAAGATGACAGAAAGGACACAAGATAAGTTGGATAACAAAACAGAAATATCATGTAAGAACCATCTTCCTTTATGTGCAATCAGTGACAACATTACCATGTTTATCGCTCAATACCACAAGGATGACACAAGTTAAGTTTAGTCTAGTGCTGTATCTTTGAATGTAGCAGGTAGTCATTCTTAAAGTCATTACTTAATGTATTGAGTTTATTATCCAATTCTGTGGTCAATTTGATTAATGGTTTATGACTTGAAATATTTTCAGCGTTATTGTATTGCAGTTGAGGCTGTTGCGACGACAACTCATAATAAATGTCTGGAATGGTGCGAAAGGAATGGCAAACACATTGAAACCATGTGTTCGATGTATTTGATATCATTCCACTAATTCCGCTCCAGCCATTAACATGAGTCCTTCCTCCCCAATTAACGTGCCACCAACCTCTTGTGGTGTATTGGTAGGCTATATTGCAGTCATCTTTGAATTCGGGGACTTTATTTTGTGAAAATCTGTTTGTGTTAATTACTTCAATCTCAGTTGGTACACTCTACATTAGCTTTAAAAAAAAAAAATAGGTCAATATACTTTCACAGCTGTAATACGCTGACTGCGCAAGCGGCAGGACTTCCACTTTCCCGAATAAATTATCCACTTTTCAATATGTTCAGGCCACATAATAGGGCAACAATGTGATTACACAGAAAGTAATCAAGATATTTCACATTATCATCTGCATAATTAAAATCTAACATTCATTTGCATGAGACACTTGATCAATAGTTATTGCTCTAGTATCCTATGGTGCCACTGACATCTATAGAGCCACCAACTGGTCTGGTGCAGCCATTTAAGGTTGCAGTGGCTTTATATTCACACAGCTATTATTATTAATTATATACATAAGGTTTACATAAAGCAGGTAGCCTAGCGGTTAAGAGCATTGGGCCAGTAACTGAAAGGTCGCTGGTTCAAATCCCTGAGCAGACTAGGTGAAAAATCTGTCGATGTGCCCTTGAGCAAGGCACTTAACCCTAATTGCTCCTGTAAGTTGCTGTGGATAAGAGAGTCTACTCAAATTTAAAATGTAAAAAATATATACCAAATTTCATGGTCCCATGTCCATCGGTTCATTTCTTATAGCCCTGGTGAGATATGGTGCCATCAGTGGTGTAACGTGGCCGACTATGAATGCAGCAACTAATCATTCTCAAATTCATTACATGCTAATTTATTGGGTCTATATACCAATTCTTTAGTCAATCTGACTTATAGTTCATGAGAAGATTTAAAAAGTATTTTTAGCATGTACATCTATTAGGTACAGTGTGGTCATATTCGAATGCTGCAAAACAATTCTCAAAATAATTAAAGACTGCTGTAACGAGTCTAAATACAAAATCTGGAGTGAATCTGACGTGTGTTTCACAAGGAGATGATTGCAGATGATTTTGAGCATTAGCGTTACATATTCAAAGAATGAGTTGTTAATAGTTTCCTTGTTTTTTTAGATATCAATACAAAATGCAGTGTGGTTCATCTTAGGGACGTCCATGATAGCGATGACAAGTCTCAAGTTGATAGGCCACTGGTTTAAATGGACACATAAATTCAGAGTATTTTTTTTCAATACCTCAGCCATCTTTGGACCAATCCCTTAGCTTTTTTCTCAAACTAAGTTATGTCACGTACCATGTCTTTTGGTCCTATGGTTTCATGAGAAGAAGATTTTTGAAGTATTTTTAGTATATTAGTGTATGTGCTAATATGCATCTACTGGTATAGTGTGGCCATCTTTGAATGCATCAATGTTATTTTCTCAAACTCTTTAGGGACCATTGTGTTGAATCCAAAGACCACATTTGGAGGGAATCAGACTTTTAGTCCATGAGAAGATTTTGTATGATTATTTTAAGCTTTAGCATTACATAGTCAAAAAAGTGAATTGTTAATAGTTTCCTTCTTTTTTAAGATATCAATGCCAAACTTGGTTCACCATGGTAATGTCTTCGATGACCCTAAAAAGTTAAGTTGATAAACCATTGTGGAGTGGATTAACAAAGGATTTAAATGGACACGTAAAATCTGATTTATCAATAACTCAGCCATCTCTTAACCATTACTTCAGCTTTTCTCAAACTAAGGTAAGACATGTACCATGAACCTACATACCACATTTGGACTTACGGTTCATGAGAAAGTTTTCAAGACATCCTGATTGACCTTATGGGTCCTTGAAGCAATGAGGAAAGACACCTACATACAACTGGTTTCAGGTCTAGGTCAAACAGGGCGAAGGCTATGAGGGTTTAAGTCAGACTGCTTATAACAGCGCCACAAATAGGCCAAGTGGTGCCATTCTTTTGGACCAAGTTACCCATGGCATCTAGTTTGTGTGCCAAATTAGAAAAAAAGTTCCCAATCTATGCTTGAGTTATTTGACCATGTCAATAAATAAAAACATTCAGAGAATAACAAAATCGGTTTCTTCTCTATGAACCCCTAATTATAACCAACAACAATAAAAAGGTGTCAATCAATCAAGACAATAGTGGATGAGTTTTTCTGTGTTGCAGTATGGTGAGGCACGGCAGCTACCTATGGTGGTCCTGTTCTTTCCCACAAGCCAGAGATGGTAGCTGAAAAGCGACAGGATGCTGATGAAGAATATGGCCGCCACAAAAAACAGAAACAACACGTGGAATTTGGCGTGAGTGTCAGGCAGCTGATTCTTGAGAGGGGAGAGAGAAAGAAGAGCCGTTAGTGATGTCATACTCTTCATCAGCCCCATACAGTAGTAATGTTCACCTTCTGCACAGACATACAGGATATGACACATCAGTCAGTTGTAAATGACCATGAAGACCTCCTCATTCTGGAGTCGCAGACCCAGCCTATATGACTGTTCAGTGAATGGCTCCAGAAGGTACTACATACAGTACAGACCTTTTGGTTGTTATGCAAAATAGGACATGCTAAAAAAAACAGTCCTGTCCGACTCCACACTCCCCCTCAGTTGGCCAAGATGGCAGTGGACATTCATCGTCACAAGCAAGGCAGCATATAACACAAACAGGGACAGAGGCCTAGTCTTACCACTCAAGGAGGAACAGACAACAGCTTATGTTGCAAGACAACAGCGTTTGACACATACTGAAGAGAATCCTTCAACAGCAATTTGTACTTCTGAGAGACAGAAGCCTTGTGAATGCCATTATGGGTTGAGCTTCTCTACCTTAGTCACAATAGGCTACTCCAAGAAGTGCAACCTTTCTTTTTGACTAACCACAACGATCAGATGGTGACAATCATGCATTTTACCTGAGGACAATCCTCAACAGATCTCCTTCGGCAAAGCTTTAGGCAAAGTATTAGAGAGAGACAGATAGATAGTTAGTGGAGAAATTAAGAGTGCAACTATCTTAGAGAGATAAAAAGGACAGAACAGGATTACAGGGAAACAAAACTATCGGCACCTGCTCAACGTCCTCATGAATGTTAGCACAATTGCACTTCCTCCCTCCCCCCCGTTCCACGCTTATTTACTGCAATCACACAGCTAAATATAAACTGGATTCACACATATTTCTCCTGACATGCAGACTGCTCAAGTTTGAGGTGGTTTATATAGAGGATTTGGGATATTGGCTAGTTGGAACATGCGATCAGGGATCTTACTGCTCTCATTGTTTAACACTCAACAACTAAGCTCTTGCTAGCTAAGGAAGAAAGGCAGGAAGCTACAGTATTACTCAGTAGTACTTACTGTCCAGAATTTGATGAAATACTGCAGGACGGTAGCGGCGATGAATACACAATACAGCATGGAGTAGGCCAGAAACAAGACAAAGAACTTGTAGTTTGAAAATCCAACACAGTTATTCACCCTGAGAGAGAAACAGAGAGTGAGGAAAAAAAGTCACCGTGGCTCGTGCTGCTCTGTCCACAAGTTGTCTATATTATCTCATCTCTATACAACAAAGTGATGAGAATCGACAGAATTCTCTTTATGAGAGCTGAGTAATCCTTTTCACATTACTATACTAGACCAAACACATCAAAAATAAGCTCATGCAGTAGAATGGACAGGATGAAACTCTACACTGATCCAATCACTATCAAGTCAGTATTAACAATGGACTTCAAATGAGGGCAGGCATTTTTTTGTATTAACAATGGACAATACTGTCTGATCTGAACTATAATAATATACACAGAGTGTACTTTGCTAAGCAACTATACTTCATGAATGGACTGAGGCGTTACATACCATGGACAGTGATGATCCATCTTCAGCACACACCTGAGAGAGAGGGAGAGTACGACAGCATGAAAAACAAGGGAAGGAGGAGGAAAGAGTATAAGGCGTTCACTCACTGCTGTACAATGTAGAGAAAAAAACAGGGCAATTTAAGAGGGTGCCACGAAATTCTTTGCCCTATGTCAATCATAAATTACATTTAATTAATCATTAGGTTATTCTCCACAATATTATAACCTTAATATACTTGTACTTAACAATGGTGATGAAATAAGAACGTTCATTTGCTGTGACCGTTGCTAGTTTAGACTGCGCCGCTCCTGGTTGTATCCTCTTCCATATTTGGCGTTGTGAGGTAGTAACGTTACCATTTGGAGGTGTTTCTACTCGTTGGACCAATCGAAATCAACTTGATACCCTCGTCATTTTCACCTCCAGATCTTTGGCTTTCATTGCCTATTATGGTGATCAATCTATGTCGAGAGGGGCGTTTCTATGGCGATTTAAAGGGAAGAACTCCAAAATACACAATGAAAACAGGAACAGATTGTCTTCGCGGAGGGTGGATATTGAAATTCAGTCTTTTAGCTTTGTAAATATCTATATAGACTGAATTTCAATATCCACCCTCCGCGAAGACAATCTGTTCGAGAGAGAGAGAGAGATAGAGAGATAGAGATGAGTCCCTATTTTGTTTTGTATTCAGCGGATTTCATTTAGAAAAAGCCCATGTTTTTACTCACGAACCTACAGCCACTAGTTAGCTTGTAAATTGACATTCCAAGTTAGCGCCGTTCTGCAGCGGAGCAGCGCCACAGAGTTCTATTGAGCAGCGGCCACTTTTTGATCATGCCTGTGATGACATTCCATTCACTCCAAACATGCTACATTTTCAGAGAAAATCGTCTTTTGAACCATGATTTTATGCGGCATCTTTTTAGGTGCTTCAACTCCAAGGTAATATACTGTACAGTGTTCACCCATAAAATAATTAATTAATTCTAGGTTTATACAAATATGTCCATGGTGCATCTCATCTGAACCCCACCTCACTGTTGCCCCTTGCTACAGACACCCCTCAGCCCCCAGCTGTGCCCTGAACACCATATGTGAATTGATTGCCCCCCATCTATCCTCAGAGTTCGTATTGCTTGGTGACCTAAACTGGGATATGCTTAACACCCCGGGCCGTCCAGTTGTAAATGAGAACTTGTTCTCAACTGGCTTACCTGGTTAAATAAAGGTGAAATAAAAAAAATAGAACTGAACTCACATGTCACAGGTGGAGCAGTGGTGGCAGCGGTCGGGTTTGATCACCTGACAGTGGTCACAGTACCGGACGGCTGTGGAGAACACATACACCTGATCAATCATCATCAGCATTAAATCCAAGGCTTGTGTTGCAACTACAGTCAGATCCAAAATTACTGGCACCCTTGATAAAGACTAACAAAAAAAAAAAACTATAGAATTATTCAAATACTGAGATATATTATATGCTCCCCAAAAAATAGGGAAATGTTATCGTTTTATACTAATACAATTGCTCAGAGAAATAGATGTTTAATAAGTAATTTTTTGTCTCATAATTATAGGTGTCTAAATTATTGGCACTCCTAAAGATTCTTATAAATACAAACAAACAAAATGTCGTCTTCATTAACATTCTACTTTTTTCTCTCAATGTAAAGAACTGTATTGTGGCCTTCCATGGCTTCCTGTTTCACTGGGGTATAAAAATTAAGAACATGCATGTAAAATCACTGTCAACCATCACCATGGGAAAAGGCAAAGCACTCCCAAAAGAAAAGAGACAAATGGTTGTTAATAAAATAATAATCTGGCAATAGGTACAAAGAAATAGCTAAAAAAATACATAAAATAAATATACCACTTACCACTATTAGGGCAACAATTAGTAAGTTTAAAACCACTGGAACAGTGGTAAACTTGCCTGGTATTGGACGCAAGTGTATGTTGTCCCCACGCACAGTGAGGAAGATGGTTTGCAAGGCAAAGAAAATTCCAAGGGCCAACGTTGTAGAATTACAGAACCTGGTCACATTTTCGGGTCACCAAGTCTCCAAATCTACAATTAGACGCCACCTCAATGCCATTAGGCTCTTTGGAAGGGTTGCCAGAAATAAAGTCTTTATTGAGCGCAACCAACAAATGTAAAACGCCTGGAGGTCAAATATGAGGGCATTTCAGCCAAAAACCTGGTTGCCTCTACTAAGAAGCTGAAACTTGGTCGCAAGTGGCTCTTCCAGCAAAACAATAACCCCAAGCACTAATCAAACTCAAAAGAAATGGTTAATTGGCCACAAAAACAACATTTTGCAATGGCCATCTCAGTCTCCGGACTTGAACCCCATTGAAAACAAGTTTGAATTGAAGAGGGCAGTCCATAAGTGCAGATTGAAGGATATCAAGGATCTGGAAAGATTTTGTATAAAGGAATGGTCTAAGATCCCTCCCAATGTGTTCACCAATCTCATAAAACATTTTTGAAAAAAGGCTCAGTGCAGTTATCCTCGCAAAGTGCCGGAGTATTGAAAACAGGGGTGCCAATAAATTACACCTAGCTTTGAGATTTTTTAAAATAACTTTTAATCAAAATCTGAGCAATTGTATTAGTAGATCTATTAATTTTCTTTTTTGAGCATACAATATAACTCAGTATTTGTATGATCTATTTCATACAGTCCTTTTTCTCATCTTTATCAAGGGTGCCAATAATTTGGGAACTGACTGTATATCCCAACTACATAAAATAGCACATCAATTCTATTTGGCAACCTTGTTGGATGTGTACATGGTGAGTTGGGGGTGGGTGGCAGTAACATTCTCACCTCCTGTCCCAGTGCGTGTGTAGACAGGCAATCCTACCACCACTTTCTTCAGGACCTCCTGCTGAGTGTCTGGGTCCTCCTTCTCATACTGCTCCTTCTCCTCTTTGGGCAGACAGAACTGATAGGAAGACAGAAAGGTGTTTCTCAAAGTATGTTATTACCTGTAGTCATGGATCTAGAAATTAGGGCACAGTGGAAATGTGAAAATAGTAACTTGAGATTGAGGGCAAATCCCCTTCAAAACCATACACTTGGGTTGGGCAGTATCCAGATTTTAATACTGTTTCTGTACCATACAGTATTACCGAATGTGCAAACAAGGGGTGCTATTTATTTCATATATATATATATATATATATATATATACACACATACACACACATACACATATACACACACACAGTGCATTTGGAAAGTATTCAGACCCCTTGACTTTTTCCACGTTATGTTACAGCCTTATTCTAAAATTGATTAAATCGTTATTTTTCCATCAATCTACACACAATACCCCATAATGACAAAGCAAAAACAGGTTTAGACATTTCTGCAAGTTTATAAAAAACAGAAATATCACATTTACATAACTATTCAGTCCCTTTACTCAGCACTTTGTTGACGCACCTTTGGCACCGATTACAGCCTTGAGTCTTCTTTGGTATGACGCAACAAGCTTGGCACACCTGCATTTTGGGGAGTTTCTCCCGTTCTTCTCTGCAGATCCTCTCAAGCTTTGTCAGGTTGGATGGGGAGCTTCGCTGCACAGCTATTTTCAGGTCTCAAGAGAGGTTAGATCGGGTTGAAGTCCGGGCTCTTGCTGGGCCACTCAAGGACATTCAGAGACTTGTTCCAAAGCCACTTCTGCATTGTCTTGGCTGTGTGCATAGGGTCGTTGTCCTGTTGGAAGGTGAACCATCACCCCAGTCTGAGGTCCTGAGCACTCTGGAGCAGGTTTTCATCAAGGATCTCTATGTACTTTCCAACGTTAATCTTTCCCTCGATCCTGACTAGTCTCCCAGTCCCTGCCGCTGAAAAACATCCTCACAGCATGATGCTGCCACCACCATGCTTCACCATTGGGATGGTGCCAGGTTTCCTCCAGATGTGACGGTTGGCATTCAGGCCAAAGAGCTCAATCTTGGTTTCATCAGACCAGATAATCTTGTTTCTCATGGTCTGAGTCCTTTAGGTGCCGTTTGGCAAACTCCAAGCAGGCTGTCAGGTGCCTTTTACTGAGGAGTGGCTTCCGTCTGGCCACTCTACCATAAAGGCCTGATTGGTGGAGTGCTGCAGAGATGGTTGTCCTTCTGGAAGGTTCTCCCATCTCCACAGAGGAACTCTAGAGCTCTGTCAGAGTGGCGATCGGGTTCTTGGTCACCTCCCTGACCAAGGCCCTTCTCCCCCGATTGCTCAGTTTGGCTGGGCGGCCAGCTCTAGGAAGAGTCTTGGTGGTTCCAAACTTTTTCCTTTTAAGAATGACGGAGGCCACTGTGTTCTTGGGGACCTTCAATGCTGCAGAAATTTGTTGGTACCCTTCCCCAGATCTGTGCCTCGACACAATCCTGTCTCGGAACTCTACGGCAGTTGTGTCAAGTTGGCTGGATGTCCTCATGGCTTGGTTTTTGCTTTGACATGCACTGTCAACTGTGGGACCTGATTTTTTTTTTTATTTAATCCATTTTAGAATAAGGCTGTAACGTAACAAAATGTGGAAAAAGTCAAGGGGTCTGAATACTTTCCGAACGCACTGTATAAAGCTTGGGCGGTATCCAGAGCGAAAACGAACAACCTAATTGCAAAAACAGGAAAATCCAGCTCAAAGTTATGCAAGCATAGCTAGTAGATACAGAATGTTATTTAGAAGTGAACGAGAGAAATTGTGTAAATAAACAAAGTTGTGATGCATGCTTTTCTGATGGAAGAGCAGCATGTGTACATGGAGCAGATGGGAGAAGAACAGAGAAAAAAAAAACTTTAGCAGGAAGCACAGGGAAAAAATGGCAGCTGTACAGATAACTCATCCAGAGCTCTGACTTCTGTCAGAATGCCATTATACGATATCTGATGGCAAATATTTAGTAGTGAACTGCATACAAGTAACTTCATCACCTCATGTGCGCCTCACAACAGAGACTCACCGATAGATATAGAATGCTATGGACTCACCAGCTCGCTTTATCCCGTTGTGCTGTTTACAAAGAAACACGTGACAGTTCTGGGGAACTATGGTAAGCTTCATAATGTAAAATAATGTGACAGGTGAAACTAAGAACGCAATCTGCTTTATCGCCTAACGTATTACACAAGTTGACAGCAGGTGTTAACTTAAAAAGTAGCTACAAATATTCACATTTATTAAAAAACTTAAAAGAAATAGTTGACGGTATTGAAATACCATCCCATGGCTTTTTCCAAATACCACGGTATACCGCCCAAGCTATATCTATCGGAGAAATAGAGACGCACTACATGACCAAAAGTATGCGGACACCTGTCAGCAACAAGTGTGGCTGAAATAGCTGAATGCACTAATTTGAAGGGGTGTCCACATACTTTTGTCTGTGTATACATTAAGAACACCTTTCCAAGAGAGAGATATATTTATTTTTTACACACAAAACTATTTAGGCAATAGGGATCTTGATCCAGGAGGGGATTGAATGTCTCTGCTGTAACCAAGAAGCTTGATCTTGACATCTAGCAACTTAGCTAGCAAGTTAGAAAACCAAATGCATAGCTGGAGCCCTGAGCTGGATATAATTTATTTGACACATCTTAGATTTTTTATAGTTATACATAACTTATAGTTATAAGCAGTGCCGTAGCACGAGGCGGGAATGCCCCAAATATTATTATTTCTTATTAAAAATCATACTATCGGTATTTCAAAATACCGTTTATACCGGGGTATCGCCCAAGCCTACCACATACACACACACACACACGCTCACACACACATACAAAACCTGTCCTATGTTAACATATGCTGTAATTACAGAGTGCCTTAGGAACCGCCCTGCCTACTCCCCTGGCATTGTGATGTAGCATATCACGGGAGGTAGAGTGAGTACGGTACTACTGACAAAGACAGATACACACACTCTCCGTATACCTCTTTAGAGGGGTTGGCGAGCCTGCTGCAGATAGTCTTCCAGTAGGACCAGATGAACATGATGAAGAACAGGTGAAAGACAACTAGGTATGATACTGTTGGAGAGAAGAAGCAAGAGACACCATTCATACCTCATACCAGAGATCAAATATAATGCAATTATATCCATGAGTTAAAGGATTTTGGCAATACGCCTTTTATCTACTTCCCCAGAGTCAGATGAACTCGTGGATACCATTTCTATGTCTCTGAGTGCAATTTGAAGGAAGTTGCTAACTAGCGCAATGACCAGAAGTCTATTGGTAACTTCCTTCATACTGGACACAGAGACATAAAAATGGTATCAACTAGTTCTTCTGACTCTGGCGAAGTAGATAAAGGGCCTCATTGCCAAAATCCCAAAGTATCCCTTGTAACCTAAATCACAGCTTTTCACCCCATGCAAAACAAGTATTTAGTTTACCATGTCTAAATCACAAGTACCAGATCATATTAACCATATCGCAACTGTGTACATCAGTGTCACGTAGACACAGTAGAGTTTGTGTGGGTTCAAGGTGGTGTGATTGTGTGTGGGTTCAAGGTGGTGTGATTGTGTGTGGGTTCAAGGTGGGGTGATTGTGTGTGGGTTCAAGGTGGGGTGATTGTGTGTGGGTTCAAGGTGGTGTGATTGTGTGTGGGCCCAAGGTGGTGTGATTGTGTGTGGGCCCAAGGTGGTGTGATTGTGTGTGGGTTCAAGGTGGTGTGATTGTGTGTGGGTTCAAGGTGGTGTGATTGTGTGTGGGTTCAAGGTGGTGTGATTGTGTGTGGGTCCAAGGTGGTGTGATTGTGTGTGGGCCCAAGGTGGTGTGATTGTGTGTGGGTTCAAGGTGGGTGTGATTGTGTGTGGGCCCAAGGTGGTGTGATTGTGTGTGGGCCCAAGACAGTCAGTCTTAAATGCACCAAATGTTTCTGAATGTTACTTACTTTTTTCTGCATTATTTGGGATTGTAACTGAAAGAGACAAGGGGGTACAGAGAGAGAGAGTTTAGAGAGGGCCTCTGATTGATGTGTCTGCTGAGTTACAGTACTAGGCTCACATCACCATTCCTTCCAGTTCTCTGCTGCCAATGACTGGAACGAATTGCAAAAATCTCTGAAGCTGGAGACTCTTATCTCCCTCAATAACTTTAAGCATCAGTTGTCAGAGCACCTTACCGATCACTGCACCTGTACACAGCCCATCTGAAATTAGCCCACCCAACTACCTCATCCCTATATTGTTATTTATTTTGCTCTTTTGCACCCCAGTATCTCTATTTGCACATAATCTCTTGCACATCTAGCATTCCAGTGTTAATACTATTGTAATTATTCTGCACTATAGCCTATTTATTGCCTTACCTCCATAACTTGCTACATTTGCACACACTGTATATATATTTTCTGTTGTATTTCTGACTTTATGTTTTTTTTTACCCCATATGTAACTCTGTGTTGTTTTTATTGCACTACTTTGCTTTATCTTGGCCAGGTCGCAGTTGTAAATGAGAACCTGTTCTCAACTGGCTTACCTGGTTAAATAAAGGTGAAATAAAAAAATAAATAAAAAATCTACTTCCCCCTTCTCTCAACCCCCAGCAGCAGCCTGGTACTACCAGCGGGGGACACACCTGTCACAGAACGCTTTGTTTGCCCTGCTGAAGGGATGCCCCTGACTATGGCATGTCATTGTACCATCAGCAGCAGCCCACAGAAACAGGCTAAACAGGTTAGTAACAGTGAGCGGAAACAGTGAGGTTCACATGAGGAGTCAGCTGGTCAGCAGTATGGGAATAAGCGCATTTGAGGCCAAAGTAGCCTCACATCAAATGGCTCTTAAGATGCTTGGCACAAAATCCAAGGCAGAATTATATAGCCAAAATGCGACCGAAGCTAAACAATGTCAAAATAAGAAATAAGGTCTGAGATCGGACAAAATTATTCCAAAATCCCCTCTATTCCAATCTGGGACGAGGATAGTTTCCAGTCAATTTGACTACGTACATGTGTCTGTCCATTTCCTTCTAGCAACAGTGGCTTCTATCTATGGGCATGATTGGCTACCCAAGTAGCGAGTGTTACATTGTAGTTGATCATTTCCACACTTTTACCGTGGTGACAATGAGCCATATATTATCAACCTGATTTCGTCCGACCAAGTTACTGTAAACTACTGTCAACTACTGTCTCCGAGTCCTGGCTACACATCCTCCAGACGGGCAAGCAAGCAGTAAGCCAACTTTGTTTCAATGAGGAAACAAGCCACGTTAACCCTCCAAAAAACCGAGAATGTTATACTTACAGATACAGAGTTCAACGACGTATGCATAATAAGACCAGCCAACGACAAGGTTGATGAAAATAACAGGTATCCAAGCTAAACTCCGCTGACAGCACCTTAGTACATAATGCGGCGCCATTTTTAATCCGCCTGCGAAAAATTGTGGCCTGACCTCAAAGCTCCAGCCTTTTCCCTGGACTATTGCCGCGTTCAAAACAACTGGGAACTCGCAAGAAAATTAGCTCCGACTGAAAAAAATCGATTTGAACGCTATTCCAATCGGAATTCCATTCTTCTTCTTCTGTGGGTTTTATTGCGGACTACATCCAAAAGTTGTATTGCCGCCACCAACTGGACGGTTTGAAACCAAAAATGAAATAAAAATAAATAAATCCATACTTAAGTGATTCTAACAATCCACCCTAATAAAATAGTACATAGCCAAAACAAACAAAACTTCCACTTCTTCCTTCTTTTAGTTCTCCATATGTCCCTTCTCAGGCTCTAGGTCCTGTCGTAGTAAATATAAAATGTTATAGATTGATCTGAGTAAAATGTTGTGTTAGGAGCTTGTTTTCAATAAATGCTGTTCCTATGCAAGAACAATGGACAGAGGACCATATCTTGTCACCAGGTGGCCAAGGACAACACCCACGCCACAGGCCACAATCACTTGTTGCTCCCCACGAGTTTCCCTTGAGACACACACACACACACATCTCACTGTGGACGCACACTCATTCTCATGCCTCACGAGTTCTTTGACACACACAGACATTTCTCTGTGGACGCACACACAAACTCCACTTCCTTCTACTGGTCGGGTGCCAAGGGCAGAGGACTCTGCCGTGCACCAATGGGGCTTCTACTCTGGACAGAGCAGACCCGCCTCCTACGCCTCGGGAACCAATCAAGGGACTAGAAGAAGGACCCCTTCCTCTATGTTACATTGTATAAAATAATGCTGTAACTCTGTTTATCGATCCCTTCTCAACTGTCTCCATAAGAGGCAATTGAAAATGGGTCCATGCATGTAGCTTTAACAGTACCAGCTATCTCTGTTTTAATAAACTGCCTTTTGCTTAAGCAAATTCCTCTCTGTCTAGCGTCGTTGGTTTTGTACTTCCTCTCCAATTATGTGTTCACCAACAGTCCTGAGAATGTGGTACGGCTTTTGCTAATATTTGCTGTGAAATCTTTCAGCCCCAGGAACCGCTCTGCCGCAATCACAATGATTTCAATCTTCCTAGATATTTTCTCCACCTTGGCAGTGCCATTTATCACCATTGCGATAAAGGCCACAAAGTCCACCTTTTTAACCTTTAAAATGTCAGGATCCTCTTGGTGTAAGACAATCCCTGCAGCCTGCAGTGAAGGCCTATCCACTACCATGGACTCTTCTGGTGCAACATTCAAACCCTCAACCCTTTTCACAGCTTCTGCATATGAAATGCTCTGTACAAACCTGACTTTGGCCACCTCATTCTCCTTTACCCTTGTGGGGCATTCAGAAGACGTGGCTTCATGATTCCCACCGCAATTACAACATGTCACGTTTTCTTCACTTTTATAACACATAATATGATATTTTCCACATCTTGTACATCTCGGCTTCTCCCTTCTGCAAACACTTTCTACATGACCAAAAGCTTTACAATGTTCACACTGCATTGTTCTTGGGATAAATGATCTAACTCTGTAGTTAATATACCCTAACCACACCTCATTAGGGAGAGACTCCATTAAAAAAAAAAAAAAAGAACAGATAAACGATTCACTTTTTCCCCATTCACCACTCGATTCATCCGACGTGCTTCAATCACTCCAGGAATATTTTTAATCTCTTCCAAATCAACTTCCCACGAAACGCCAGATATAACCCCCTTAAGGGGTGCCCTCTTGCGAAGCGACACACACAACACTTCAAACTTATCAAATTGCTTAAGACACAACGCACGTTCCTTCTGATCCGCAGAATCACAAAAAAATCAAATCAAGACCGCCTCTCGTGATCCTCACATCCTCACTTTACCCAGCACTCTCTCCACCAGTTTGGATAACTCAAATGGTTTCTTCAAGATTGGTACTCTGGTCAGCTGCTCCTTATTAACAAAACGTACTCCTACTAGATATGAAGGGTCATTCTCATCACTGTACCCTACTTTGATCCGTTTTCCATTCTTTTGAACAACTCTGATTCTACCGCCATTGTATTCAGATTCCACTTCATCATCCGCTTCTGCCATCTTCCGTGAATCTGTTTAGTCTCCAAACACCTTCTCCGTGACCGCAGTGTTGCCAACTCCTCAGTAAGGAAAATAGCTATTGGCTGTCCTAAAAGTCGTTAGAAGTCGCTAAATGACGTAATCACCTAATTTGCATAATTGACCATGTGCATGTAATTGTGATGGACGCTGTAGGAGAGAGGAATAACGTCGTGGGAGAGACAAAAAGTGAGTAAAAAACACCCTAAATATCTTTAGAACTACAAATGAACTTTCTTCTGTCTATTCTTGTTTTTTAAAAATGTTTTACATTTACATCCCACCCTGAATGTAAGCCAGGGCGGAATCAGCCAGCGGCGGCTTCCCGCATGCACGATTCATTTGCAGTCTGGACTCGGAGGGGTGAACATCTCCTGCTCTGACTGCAGCTGGGAGGGACTGGTGCGTGAGGACTGGGCTGCCTGTGAGTGCTTTGGGATGGGGGCACGGCACGGCACGGCAGCACCCGCTGCTCGTTGAGAAGAGTAAGAACGATACGTGCTTTCACGTCAGAGTTTCCAAAAGTCTCCAATAACACCAGAAAAAGTTGCTAGATTTGTCGCTAGTCGCTTTTTTGAAAATGTGTTGCTAGAGGGATCTGAATACTCGCTAAATATAGCGACAGAGTCGCTAAGTTGGCAACACTGCGTGACCGTCCGGATCTGACGAACATTACACACCCCTTTCAATGGTCAATCAGAGATCATTCACTGAAGGGCCACTTGGATTTCCAACTCGGGAACTCGGGTCTCTTTCTACAGCTCCGACTTTCCGACCTGAAAATCACTGACGTCATGATTTGACCTCGTATTTTTCAGAGTTCCCAGTTGTTTGAAACGCGGCAAAAGAGCACCTCTTCTCAATCAGAGGAAATCACCACACATCTGTACAGCTGTGAACCGTGAACTGGTAGGCCACTGGAGACTCGACATGAATCGACAATCTTATTCAATTACTGAATCAAATGAAATTGTATTTGTCATATGCTTCGTAAACAACAGGTGTAGACTAACAGTGAAATGCTTACTTAAGGGTCATTTTCTAACAATGCAGAGTTAAAGATAAATATATATTTTTTATTATTATTGTGGGGATGGGTGATTCTAGTAATTTAGCTCAGTCTGCTTGCAATGTAAGCTACACATTTGTTCCAGTTCACCACAGGCCTAATAAATTAGCTTATCCTGACCATTGTGTTTAGACAACTCGAAAAGGGATAGTAGCATTTTCCATTATACTTACATTTTAGTCATTTAGCAGACGCTCTTATCCAGAGCGATTTACAGTTAGTGAGTGCTACATTACTCGTCAGCTCTGGGCGATACAGAAAGTGCCCCGAGGAGGCGGGTCTACGTAGCAGTTAAGCCAATTGCTAATTTAAGATATGAATGTATGACATAAAATGTAGCTAATCAGCGATTTTAATTCGAATCCAAGGAGGGCGATTATTTTATCGCCCCAAGCTCGCACCTGATAAAATAAGGACCGGGCTCCAGTGGCGCCATTTTTACTAGACGACAATGGCGAGCGCAAACGTTACTCCTCCAAGACCCAACCCTAACTCGGTGAAATCTCTCCTCCAAGATCCGTTTGAGAGGAGAACTTTGTCAGAGAAAGTTCGGGTGAAAGAGCTGGGCCCAGATCAACCTGACCTCTCAATCAGACAGCAGGCTAGCGAGAAAGGGAAGCAGTATATGCGCGGCTTCTCCCGTAGCTGGTACACCAGGAAGGCTTGGCTAGCTGGGTGCACTGATGCTAATGCTTTATTTTGCTTTCCGTGCTTGCTTTTTAAAACGACGGGGTCAGATTCAGCATGGACAGGTACCGGAGTGAGGGATATGAAGCACCTGTCAGAGAAGGTAAAGAAACATGAGAACACCAGGGCACACATGGACAACTCTGTAAAGCTAGCTGTATTAGGAAGGGTGAACATTGCTACGCAGCTGGATGACGGCCACAGGATTGCGGTGAGGAAACACAATGAGGAGGTGGATAAAAACAGGCACATTCTATCCAAAATTATCGATTGTGTGAAGTTCTGTGGGGCTTTTGAGTTGGCCTTGCGTGGGCACGAGGAGACTGACTCCTCGGACAACCCCGGCATTTTCCGGGGCTTAGTGGATTTTGTTGCCTCCCTCGACAGTGTGCTGGAGGAGCACCTGAAGACAGCTACCGTTTTTAAGGGCACGTCAAAGACGATACAGAACGAGCTGTTGGAATGTATGCTGTCAGTGCTTAAGGATTACATCCTGGAGGAAGTAAAGAGTGCTGATTTTATCGCCATTCAAGCTGACGAGACGACTGACGTTTCCACCCACTAACGTGTTTCCAGACCATCAGAGACTCTGGGAACTTTGATGCCCCGACTGTCAGAGAGGCGGGGGGCTTTGTGAGGATGCTCGAAGACGAGGCTTTCTGTTTTTTCCTGGCACTGTTCCACAAGATCATGCCAAATGTGGACATGCTTTTCAGCCAGCTGCAGAAGAGGAACATCGACCCTGTCTTCATTAAAGCACTTGTCCAGAGGTTCACAGACAGCATGCTAACAATCAGGTAAATAACTATATTTACTATTGGCTGATAAAGATGTTGTTAGAAAGATGAATAGTTCACTTACAACAGTTTAAAAGCCTAAATGTGTCTGGTCATCAAAGTGAGTGATTATCATAGAGCCGTCACAATTATATTTGTTTTAGTATTTTAAAAGGAAAGAGAAGACACAATCAGACGTTGATAATAATGCAGGAAAGTACTACACAGTTTGTAATAATTATTCAGGTGTCCACCAGGTCAATTTCTAGAAGAGGCCTAGTTGTTATTGAAGATTAACTTTATTGCTAAGTGCACAGCAGAACAAAATGATGTTGCATCCCTCTCACAAATGTAATAGAAAAAGGCTTTAAAACGTAATAACATCAGTTAATTATGTACATCACAGGTTAAAAGCAGTTACTAGACATAGTTTGTGTGTATATACACACTATCTGTCT